AAAGCACCGAGCTGATCTCCCTGTGCTATGCGGCTGCTTCCCACTAGCTATTTTATATTTGGTAGTGTATATACGTCCATGCCACTCTCTCACTTCGTCCCAGCTTATGCTTCCCCCTACCCGTGTTCTCAAGTCCATTCTCTACGTCTGTGTCTTTATTCCTGTCCTGCCCCTAGGTTCTTAAGAGCCTTCTTTTTAAATTGCATACATGTGTGTTAGCATATGGTATTTGTTTTTCTCTTTCTGACTTACTTCACTCTGTATGACAGACTCTAGGTTCATCCACCTCACTACAAATAACTCAATTTCATTTCTTTTGATGGCTGACTAATATTCCATTGTATATATGTACCACATCTTCTTTATCCGTTCATCTGTTGATGGACACTTAGGTTGCTTCCATTCCTGGCTATTGTAAATAGAGCTGCAATGAACATTGTGGTACATGACTCTCTTTGAATTATGGTTTGCTCAGGGTATATGCCCAGTAGTGGGATTGCTGGGTCATATGGTTGTTAGGCTCCGGACGCGCAGGCTCAGCGGCCATGGCTCACGGGCCGAGCTGCTCCGCGGCATGTGGGATCTTCCCAGACTGGGGCACGAACCTGCGTCCCCTGCCTCGGCAGGCAGCCTCTCAACCACTGCGCCACCAGGGAAGCCCCTATTTTTAGTTTTTTAAGGAACATCCGTACTGTTCACCATAGTGGCTGTATCAATTCACATTCCCACCAACAGTGCAAGAGGGTTCCATTTTCTCCACACCCTCTCCGGCATTTATTATTTATAGATTTTTTGATGATGGCCATTCTGACTGGTATGAGTTGATACCTCATTGTGGTTTTGATTTGCATTTCTCTAATGATTAGTGATGTTGAGCATCCTTTCATGTGTTTGTTGGCAATCTGTATATCTTCTTTGAAGAAATGTCTATTTAGGTCTTCTGCCCATTTTTGGATTGTGTTATTTGTTTTATTGATATTGAGCTGCATGAGCTGTTTGTAAATTTTGGAGATTAATCCTTTGTCATTTGCTTCATTTGAAAATATTTTCTCCCATTCTGAGGGTTGTCTCTTCGTCTTTTTATGGTTTCCTTTGCTGTGCAAAAGCTTTTAAGTTTCATAGGTCCCATTTGTTTATTTTTTTTTAATTTCCATTTCTCTATGAGGTGGGTCAAAAAGGATCTTGCTGTGATTTATGTCATAGAGTGTTCTGCCTATGTTTTCCTCTAAGAGTTTTATAGTGTCTGGCCTTACATTTAGGTCTTTAATACATTTTGAGTTTATTTATTTATTTATTTATTTTTTGCGGTACACGGGTCTCTCACTGTTGTGGCCTCTCCTGTTGTGGAGCACAGGCTCCGGACGCGCAGGCTCAGCGGCCATGGCTCACGGGCCCAGCCGCTCCGTGGCACGTGGGATCCGTCCAGACCGGGGCTCGAACCTGTGTCTCTCGCGTCGGCAGGCGGACTCCTAACCACTGCGCCACCATGGAAGCCCCATTTTGAGTTTATTTTTGTATATGGTGTTAGGGAGTGTTCTAATTTCATTCTTTTACCTGTAGCTGTCCTGTTTTCCCAGTACCACTTACTGAAGAGGCTGTCTTTTCTCCATTGTATATTCTTGCCTCCTTTATCAAAAACAAGGTGACCATATATGCGTGGGTTTATCTCTGGTTTTCTCTCCTGTTCCATTGATCTATATTTCTGTTTTTCTGCCAGTACCATGCTGTCTTGATTACTGTAGCTTTTCCATACAAATTGTGAACACTTTTGTCCTAGTTCTGTGAAAAATGCCATTGGTTGTTTGAGAGGGATTGCATTGAATCTGTAGATTGCTTTGGGTAGTATAGTCATTTTCACAGTGTTGATTCTTCCAGTCCAAGAACGTAGTGTATCTCTCCATCTGTTTGTTTCATCTTTAATTTCTCTTATCAGTGTCTTATAGTTTTCTGCATACAGGTCTTTTGTCTCCTTAGGTGCGTTCATTCCTAGGTATTTTATTCTTTTTATTGCAGTGGTAAATGGGAGAGTTTCCATAATTTCTATTTCAGATGTTTCATCATTAGTGTATAGGAATGCAAGAGATATCTGTGCATTGATTTTGTATCCTGCTACCCTACCAAATTCATTGATTAGTTCTAGTAGTTTTCTGGTAGCATCTTTAGGATTCTCTATGTATAGTATCGTGTCATCTGCAAACAGTGACAGCTTTACTTCTTCTTTTCCAATTTGGATTCCTTTTATTTCTTTTTCTTCTCTGATTCCTGTGGCTAAAACTTCCAAAATTATGTTGAATACTAAGTGGCGAGAATGGGCAACCTTGTCTTGTTCCTGATCTTAGAGTAAATGCTTTCAGTTTTTCACCACCAAGAACGATGTTGGCTGTGGGTTTGTCATATATGGCCTTTATTATGTTGAGGTAAGTTCCCTCTATGCCCACTTTCTGGAGAGTTTTTATCATAAATGGGTGTTGAATTTTGTCGAAAGCATTTTCTTCATCTATTGAGATGATCATATGGTTTTTCTCCTTCAGTTTTTAATATGGTGTATCACATTGATTGATTTGCATATATTGAAGAATCCTTGCATTCCTGGGATAACCCCACTTGATCATGGTGTGTGATCCTTTTAATGTGCTGTTGGATTCTGTTTGTTAGCATTTTGTTGAGGGTTTTTGCATCTATGTTTATCAGTGATATTGGCCTGTAGTTTTCTTTCTTTGTGACATCTTTGTTTGGATTTGGTATCAGGGTGATGGTGGCCTCGTAGAATGAGTTTGGGAGTGTTCCTCCCCCTGCTATATTTTGGAAGAGTTTGAGAAGCATAGCTGTTAGCTCTTTTCTAAATGTTTTAAAAGAATTCGCCTGTGAAGCCGTCTGGTCCTGGGCTTTTGTTTGTTGCAAGATTTTTATTCACAGCCTCATTTTTAGTGTTTGTGATTGGTCTGTTCATATTTTCTATTTCTTCCTGGTTCAGTCTCGGAAGGTTGTACTTATCTAAGAATTTGTCCATTTCTTCCAGGTTGTCCATTTTATTGGCGTAGAGTTGCTTGTAGTAATCTCTCATGATCCTTTGTATTTCTGCAGTGTCAGTTGTTACTTCTCCTTTTTCATTTCTAATTCTATTAATTTGAATCTTCTCCGTTTGTTTCTTGATGAGTCTGGTTAATGGTTTATCAATTTTGTTTATCTTCTCAAAGAACCAGCTTTTAGTTTTATTGATCTTTGCTATCGTTTCCTTCATTTCTTTTTCATTTATTTCTGATCTGATCTTTATGATTTCTTTCCTTCTGCTGAACTTGAGGTTTTTTTCTTCTTCTTTCTCTAATTGCTTTAGGTGCAAGTTTAGGTTGTTTATTTGAAATGTTTCCTGTTTCTTAAGGTGGGCTTGTATTGCTATAAACTTCTCTCTTAGAACTGCTTTTGGTGAATCCCTTAGGTTTTGGGTCGTCGTGTCTCCATTGTCATTTGTTTCTAGGTATTTTTTGATTTCCTCTTTGATTTCTTCAGTGATCACTTCGTTATTAAGTAGCGTATTGTTTAGCCTCCATGTGTTTGCATTTTTTACAGACCTTTTCCTGTAATTGATATCTGGTCTCGTAGCTTTGTGTTCGGCAAAGATACTGGATACGATTTCAATTTTCTTAAATTTACCAAGGCTTGATTTGTGACCCAAGATATGATCTATCATGGAGAATGTTCCATGAGCTCTTGAGAAAAATGTGTATTCTGTTGTTTTTGGATGGAATGTCCTATAAATATCAATTAAGTCCATCTTATTTAATGTATCTTTTAAAGCTTGTGTTTCCTTATTTATTTGCATTTTGGATGATCTGTCCATTGGTGAAAGTGGGGTGTTTAAGTCCCCTACTATGATTGTGTTACTGTTGATTTTCCATTTTATGGCTGTTAGCATTTGCTTTTTGCGTTGAGGTGCTCCTATGTTGGGTGCATAAGTATTTACAGTTGTTATATCTTCTCCTTGGATTGATCCCTTCATCATTATGTAACGTCCTTCTTTGTCTCTTGTAATAGATTCACAATTTTTAAAGGTTATACTCCATTTATAGTTATTAAAAAATATTGGCTGTATTCCTCATATTGTACTTTATTTCCTTATACCTTATTTTATTTTTTAATATTTATTTATTTAGTTATTCGTTTTGGCTGATCTGGGTCTTAGTTGTGGCATGTGGCCTCTTAGTTGTGGCATGTGGAATCTAGTTCCCTGCCAAGGATTGAACTCAGGCCCCCCTGCTTCGGAAGCGTGGAGTCTTAGCCACTGGACCACCAGGGAAGTCCCTGTTGTCTTTTTTTAGATCCCACATATAAGTGATATGTAGATTCTGTCTTAAAATCAGAAGCCCCAAAGGAGCCAATATACAAATGAGTGAGGTTGTGGGTGGAGTCTGTGTGTGGTTCCTGTCGTGGTGGCCTTGCCAGCTCTCAGAATATTTCGATGACTGACTGTCCTGAGCTCCAGTGATTCTGCTTTGCTAGCATAGCCTAAATCCTCATGAGGAATTTTCAGTGATGAAGGGCTGTCCTGGTACATTTAAACTTGTAGCCACAAACCTAGCCTTCTACATTATGTAGTCTGATCACTAATAATGGAATGTCAGCGACTTTTAAATTTCTGAGCAGTGGGAGAAGAAAAAAAAACCTTCAAACAGAAGTGTTCTGTTAATGAATGTGATAGACCCCTTTGTTGTTTGAAACCAACCCTCCTGCTATTTCCCTGAAGAAAGGGCTCTGTTGGGGCTAGGTGGCACATTTCCCTGGCACTTTGCCGCACCTCCTCTTCCCTGAAAATATTTATGGAGATCTGGTGTGTTAATAAATTTAGAAGTGATTTAATGGTCACATTGGCAGGGTGAGATAAAGCAGTTCACTGTGTTGTTCATTTTGTTTCTGGGTGGGGTGGAAGAGGGAAATGAAAGACTAACTTTTTCCTTTTTGGAAACCTAATACTCTGCTCTTCTGTTATCACTCTTGTTCTCTAGGCATTAAGTGTCACCGAAACCCTGATTAAACCCCTGGAAAAATTCAGAAAAGAGCAACTTGGAGCCGTCAAGGTTTGTGTCTAATTTGAGCACACTTGTAAACAGCAAATGTAGACACCTCTGCTGCTTGAGCGTACATACACTCGGTTCACATTTAGCAGCTTTGAAGGAGATGTTAGAGTCCACCATCTGCTGTTGTATGTTTCAAATGTGCTTTGTCCCCTTTGGGGGAATATGAAATTGAAAACAAAACAGAAATACCTGGACTGGGTGGTAAAACCTCTCGTAATCATCTTTGGCTGCACCTTTCCATGTAGAGTTTTAAAAATATCTTTAAGCAAATAACACGTTTACTCTGTATAGAAACATCTTATCTCTGTAGGAAGGGCAGTGATTTCCATGCTCGCCTCAGCTTGATGGCATCATACTAGGGTTTAAGATTAGAAATGCTGCTACGCCAGCATGCCATTGAAACTAGAAAGAGAATATTCGGTTACAGTAAGTCCTCTAAATATGAACCTTCAAGTTGCAAACTTTCAAAGATGCGAACGTGCATTCGTATGTCCAGTCATGTTAAGTTAGTTGACGTGTCTGTAAGATTACTGTACTGTAAGATTAAAAATGTTTTCTTTATTTTCTGTGTTTGTTTTTTATGTATTATTTGTGTGAAAAGTGTTACAAACCTATTACAGTACAGTATTATATAGCCAATTGTGTTAGTTGGGTACCTAGGCTAACTTTGTTGGATGTACGAACAAATTGGACTTACGAATGCACTCTTGGAATGCACCTCATTTATATGTAGGGGGCTTACTGTATTGGGATGTATTTCCTTCAAGTTAACACAGATTTATTGAGCATCTGTTATGTGCCAACATTGTTATGGGTGCTGGGGATTCAAAGGTGAGTGAACCACAGACTGTACCCAAAGCTCTGGGATGTAGCCAGGATTTCTGGGAATAGTGCAACGACTTTGCCACTGGGAGCCTAGGATGTATTTAGCAACTTCTAACATCTGCTAACTAATAAGCTTTGAAATTAACTCAGAGAAGTAATTTCCACCAGCCTCTCTTGAATGTTGTGCACATACTTGAGGGAGAAAAAATAGCGTTTCTGTGTTGTTGACCATTTTTGGCTTGGCCTAAGGAGACGGGAATAACATCAGTTTTAGGTAGGGAAGAGAGGTTTTATATTTGTATTTTTTTCCCCCATGCATTGGTGATGTGAGGTTTTTTTTTTTCCTTTACCTTTGTAAACAAACTATTAAAATCCTTTACGAATAAACATTGTGGTCTCCATGGCCATAGCTATACAAATGGATCCAGAGAGGGCCAGCTTTTTAGCTGCTATTTATAGACTCAGTTCTCCTTTAAGTGACCTGTTAACCTATTAGACACTTCTTTTTGGCATGATAGTTTACAGTTTTTAATGAAGGGCTGTGTTTTGAGGGGAGGTCAGTGGGGGTACCCCCCAAGTCCTCTTCCTGGAATTGTTTGCTGAGCTACATGAAGCTGGTTTGTGTCTGCTGGCTTTGTAGCAGGACATTGGGCGTCCGGCTTCACATCTGTGACCTTGGGCAAGTAATTGGCTTTAATTTCTTACCTGTAAGATGACAGACTGGGGATCTGACTGCTCTGTTTTGCAGTTTTATGATTCTGTTTTCTCTGATCTTCATAGGCTGTCTTAAAGCTTGAATAATCTTGGTTCTTTCTCTTTGAACATTTCATGGCAGGTACTGAATGTAAACATTTCTTATTTTTCTTATTTTACTTGGATGATGGTCGGGAAGGATAAGGGTTATATTATGTAAATGGAAAATGAATGTGACTTAATTAATAGATATATTTCCTTTTTATTTACCTACTGGGTTTTTAGAAATTTCTGGCCTTGAGTTTTCTACTGACTCTTTCTCCTCCCAAGCTTTGCCCAGCTTCTCATGTTGTGCCCGTTCAAAGTGTGGTTGACCCTTGAACAACTCAATTTTGAACTGTGTGGGTCCACTGTGGATATTTTTCATTAGTAAATACTACAGTACTACAAGATCCATGGTTGGTTGAATCCACGGATGTGGAACCGCCTATATTGAGGACCGACTGTAAGCTATACTCGGATTTTCAGCTGCTCCTAGGTTGGTGTCCCTAACCTCTGCATTGTTTAAGGCTTAACTAACTGTATAGCCTAGCCTGCAAAGCAGCTTGCAAAATAAATTGCCATATTAAAAGGTTAAATTATTTTAATACTTTGTCTCTTGAGCTGTTTAATGGCCAAATTCTATCCTGAAGTCCCATTTCTTTCTTCTTTCTTTTTTTTATTATTATTATTTAAAAACATTTTCTCCCCTCCCCTCCCCTCCCCTCCGCCACACTTCATGGCATGCAGGATCTCAGTTCTCTGACCGGGGATCGAACCGTGCCCCCTTGCAGTGGAAGCACAGAGTCTTAACCACTGGACTGCCAGGGATGTCCCCCATTTCTTTCTTCATTGTTTTTCTGGCTTCAGGTTTATGAAGGGTGTATCCTACACTCTTGTTCAGTACAGTGTGTGTGTTGGCTGTCACACCTATTGATGTTACCTGGGAGAAGCCTTATTTTACTGGTAGTTTTGTATATTAAACAGTAGAGAAGGGTAGTTTTCTAGGTTATATAGTGATATATAAGCATCTGTCTTTTTCATTAGATTGTTCAATCTTTAAGAGAAAAACCTATGCTTATTTCTTTATTTTCTACCAGCCTCCACTCTGTCTTACTATAACGTATTTAATAAATAAAGCAATTCTACTGTTCTTCTATTCTATTCTAGAAGAACCAGGGAAGGGCTTATAACCTGGATATTTGATGATTTTTCTCCATTTGTGCTTTCTAAACACCAACCCTATTTTGAAAATCACACGTTCTTGTTCCAGTGGTTGGTTTACTTACGTGGGATACTTAAAAATAACTTAATTTTCTTAGGTTAAAGATCTCTTCTTAAATACCATGAAGCAGTTTTCATGTGGGGAGAAAAAGACAAAAGTCTTTAAAAGTTGACCGCAGCAGAATTTGTTAGATACCCTTGTCAAAATGTTTATCTTTTCTTTCCCTTCTCCTTTTTCCCATCTGGGACGGTCCCGTCTTTCACTTTTATATGCAGGCTCTTTCAGTTCCGTTTACTCCTTCAGTTTCCAGCATCCCAGTGACGTGTTTAATTTGTGTTTTTAACATAATCGAAACTGCTAGGTGGCTTTTGTAAACTGGAATTTTTAGGAGCCCCCAGGTCTTCTTTTCTGCTGTTTCACTTCTGTTTGGATATGTTTCCTGTCAGTCACGTCTGTTTGGTTTGGGCTTCAACCTCCGTCCTGTAGGTTCTGCTGCATTTTCTCATGTGCCTGCCCGGTTCTTGTCTCTGTTTACAGAGCCCCATTTCCCACTGCAGGACACAGTCGTTCTGTGCTGTGTCTCATCAATTCAGAGTTTTCTTCATGGCCTCTCTTAGCTTTACTTCCACGGAAGCGCTTTTCCCTTCCCCAGAAGCTTGTCACTTATTCCTAAGTATCTGCATAACATTTTGTCGATAACCATTGCTCATTAAATGTCAGTTTAGCCACAGGAAACTAATACAGGCACCAGACAACATCGGAGCCAAGTGCATTGTGTACAAACTCCAAGAAATACTAGAACTTGCTAAGAGTTAACAGTGGGAGAATTTAAAATTGCTTTCTCTGAAAGGGGCAGCATGCAAATGTCAAACGGATACAATGAAATGATACTGATAATTTATAGAGCCTATTCAAATGCTGTTTTGCAAAGAGCTAATTACTGTTTTATTCAGTAGAATAAAAGGTTTAACCAGAAGGCTTGAAAAAATGTTTATTTCATAAATTATACCTTAGTAACTCAGCCATTACCAGAGTCTCACCCCATATTTCCTTTGTGTTTCTTTTCAAGGCTATGCCTAACGACTAAATGTTTAATAAAAATCAACTTCCTGAGATTCTGTAGATGACTGGCCGGATGGTGCTAAGGTGATGGATAGGTGACTCGAGAGCAACGGCACCAGAACCAGTGGTGGCACTTTGTCGGTGTCGCTGCTCTGTAGGCTTCTCCCTTCCCATGTCCTCTGACCGATATCTCCCGGGCGCCTACTAGGTGTGCGGGTAGAGGCTGAATTCTCATTGCTGTGGAGAGGCTGAAGGAGCTTAAAGGCAAAAGGGGGTGGGGGGTTGGGTAGGGCAAATGAAGTGTCAAGGAGGACTGGTGACATTGGTGCAGGAGTTGAGGGAGGCGGCTGTCCCCGCACTGGAGGAGACAAGGAGTACTTCATGGAAGAGGTGGCATTTCCACCTCCTGGTTTGGGCGTAAAGGCTGAATTTCCAACGCCCTGGGCTGTAGGGTGTTGGTGGACCGGGGGAGCAGAACAGGGATTGCAAAGCTCTGGTTGGCCTGGATATACAGGAAAAAGTGCTCCTGCCAAGTGTGTTGTATGTGCTGTGAATCTTGTTTCTTGTGTGTGCAGCGCTACCCCCACCTTTTTATTTAAGGGAGAAGGAGTTGGAATCTCTAAGAAAGTATTTAAGCTCCTGTCTAGACTAGTCAGCCTTATTATTTACTGTTCGTAGTTTGAAAATAAGTCTTTTCATTTCCTCATCCTAGAAAATTTGTAAAATACCAAAAATATTAAAAAAAGAAAGTTACCTGGTAACTTAAAAATTTCCCCTTCTTCTAAAACAAAGCAAAAAATTCTAGTACCCTGCAGAAATGTGGACAGTTCACAGGTGTGTTCAAACTTTTGTGAATTCTTTATATGTTCTTTACTCATTTTTCCTTGGAAGTGTAATGTGTGATTTGAGCAGAAACTTGCTCAATAAAGAGTGTTTTATGTGTTAGGAACGTTTACTTCTTTGCTTCCGTATTAATTGTATCATCTCCCTGCCTGTTGTTTGCCTTTTACCTTATTTATTGTGTATTTTTGATATCTAGAAGTTCTTGTGGCTTCTTCCATTTCTCTTTTGCTCAGAAGTTCCTTCTCTGTTCTGAGATCTGATTGAAAATACTCTTTTTTGGCTTCATTTTTTACTTGTGACTCTTTCAGTCCATCTGGAATTAATTTTGATTTGAGACATGGTTCTCTTTTTATTTCCAGCTAGTTAACCAGTTATACCCACACCATTGGTTGAGTAATATTTTTTTATCCAGTGATTTGTGATGAAACCTTTATGTGTGTGTGTGTGTGTGTGTGTGTGTGTGTATGTTTACTTCTAATAGATTCAAAAAACCTGATTATTTATGTTTTGTTTCTTAGGTTTATTAAGTCCCTCTACCATTTACACCATGTACATCTTATTTGACTAATTATGCTGTTTTAAGTAATATCTCTTCACTGGTTTTTTTTTTGTTTGTTTTTGCATGTGTGATTTTATAACATTACAAGCTGACTTCCCATGAGTAATCTTTAACTTGTAAACATTTTGTTTGGCTTACTCATGTTAAAACTGAAAAAAAATTTTCTTGTTGCCACCATTTAAAAATCACTGGGTTTTCCAGCTGTTCCAGAAAAATCGGAAGACAAGGCCTGTGTACTGGGCTTATATTTCCACATGGCAGAAACCTGCAGGAGCTCTGTTATGGCTGCCTGCCTCTCTAGAATAGATGTGGGCTACCTGATTTGCCCTTGCCTCCACCTTTCCTTACTGAGTTTTACTTTCAGCTTGACTCAGACTCACTTGAGTAATGCTGTTTCATAAAAAAGTTTTCATTGTATTAATTTGATCCTTGATAGAGCCTTTTGTCTCATTGCTCAATTTATTGTATATATATATGTATATATATACACACACATACATATATATGTATCCTGTATTGCAGTGTTGAAGAAAAAAGGCTCCATTCTTTATTGAATGCTGCTTGAACACAATCCCTTTTAAAATTCCTATTATTTAAGTACCAAAAGTCATATGAGTACAAAGCAACAGAATATTCTATAGTGACCTTGAGAAGAAATGCAAGGAGAAACAATTATCTGAGTCTTAAGATTCAAAAACAAAACACAGTAGCGTTTGTATAATACCATACCAAGTACGAACAATTGTATTTCCACTCTAATTGGTGGGTGTGATGTTGTTTCTTGGCTAAATTCTTTCTTCACAGAGCCTTGACAGAACCATTTTCTTTCATTCCCAACCTAACCCACATGCTAATTTACATACCCCACTATTGCTGCGTGTGCTGGGGTGTTTTGACTGCTGACTTTAGCATCATTGCATCCTTTGTCCCCTTCTGTGATTCACGTGAAATCAAAGGAGTAAAAATGTTTTCAGTATTCTCTGGTAAGTACTAATCTGCAAAGATAGTGAGCATGTTTAACCACATGATCTCGCTTTGCAGAGTACTTGCGGTAAATGCAGCTGTGTCACCTCCATTTCTATCTCATTTAAACCTGAGAAACCGTTGCTCAGAGAATGCTGTGACCCTGGGGCAGTGAGTGCATGGCTGCCCAATGCGTGGCTGAACAATGCATGGCTGCTAGAACCTGCGTCTCTGACACCTAATCCAGTGCATGCTCTGCAATATGAACTTTTAAAAATAGCGGGGATTTTGAAGTAGTGGCCATATGTTCTTTTTAGTTTATTTTCTGTTAGTCATTAAAATCGTTCAGGAAGTGCGTCATAAGGAAAAGCAGAAAAGAGAGTAACCATGTAGTATTAATGCCTTAAGCTTTTTTAAAAAAAGTTGTAAATTAGACTCGGGGCATAAAGAAACAAAGTGCTTCTGTTTCAACAGAAGTTTGACTATTCTCATACATAGGCGAACCGTAGGATCACAGAATCTTAGGATTGGATCTAAGAATGAACTAGTACAAAACCAAATCCCTGATCTTTTCAGTAGGAAAACTAAGGTTCTGTATTGTTAGGTGTTCCCCTCCCCCCCCCCCAAAAAAAAAGATGTGCAGCTAGTTGGTAATTAAACTTGGAGTAGAAATGGGAAGAAATAACAGTTCCTGAGTCTGTCTCTTCCATCAGTATGGGGATTAATTTAGGGTCTTTAGGTGGGCTGGCAGAGCTCCCTGCCTGGCTTCTCACAACAGTTTGTAGTCCCGTGGAGTGAGAAAATGATAATAAATGTGAAGAAACAGAATTTTTGTGCTTTATTTACTCCTTTTGCTTAATAGGGAAAAGATCATGCCAGAAAAGGCTGGGAGAATCCATTATTTTTGACCTAGAAAACAGAAGTTGGAAAATAGGGAAGGGAATGTTCCTTTTCAGGAGGCCTTGGAGAGTTGGTGAGAGTTTGAAGTTAATGGAAACATTTTGACAGCATGAGGACATCGTGTGTGCTCATTGGTGCTCTGAAATGTTTATGAGAAATCTACTTGCCTTTGGCAAGCATTGTTGGGGAGATACTCTGTCTTTGCTGCCTTAAAAAAATTTGGTTCCTTGTGAAATAGGGAGGGTGGGAGGGAGACTCAGGAGGGAGGGGATATGGGGATCTATGTGTGCATATGGCTGATTTACTTTGTTGTACAACAGAAACTAACACAGCATTGTGAAGCAATTGTACTCCAATAAAGATGTATTTAAAAAAATAAAAATGCACAGGGAACTCTATTCAGTACTCTATAATGACCTATATGGGAAAAGAATCTAAAAAAAAGAGTGGATATATGTATATGTATAACTGATTCACTTTGCTGTACACCTGAAAATAACACAGCATCGTAAATCAAGTGTAGTCCAATAAAAATTTGAAAAAAAAATTTTAAAAAATTAAAAACTACTCAAGCTAAAGGAAAGCAAATGCTGTTTCTAGGCAGCACCTGAGAAATGTTTGTAATGTTAGCCAAAGGATCTTGGTACAAGTATGTCAGTATTATTTTAGGCCTTGTCGACCTATTGCTAGTATTCTAGACAGTGTTAAAAAAATCACTCCTAAGGTTTGGGTGAGTAGATGACTTTCCTGGTCAGAGGATTTTATTGTGATATTCATACTGGACAATTGGGGAAGATCTTTTAAGATATTTCCTACTGCCCCAGTGGTGATGATGATGATTTTTTTTAATGTAGATCAAAACTTACTCAGTTTTAAGTGAATTCCATTTCTATGCCAAAATCTGTACTGTAGCAAGTTTGCTTTTTTAAGCTTTATGTTCTTATTATATGTTAAAAATATATATTTTTTGAATGGAAGGACGAGTGAATGGCATTAATTCCAAACACTGGTTAAGTATGAAGAGTTGAAAAATAACAGGCTTGGAAAAAAGCCCATTAAAGGAAAAAAAGAAAAAATAAGTGACTCTTCAATCCCAACGCTGTCTTGATGAGTAATAAGCAGTATGGCCTGGGTGCAGATAGATTTTCCAGATAATTCCTTCACACTTCATGGTAGTTTCTTTTATTTTCGGATAGTTTTCATAATTTGAGTTTCCCAATGGATTAACTATGTGTATGCCTTTTTTTCCCTTTTTTAATCACAGTTGTCTATGTTTTTCTGATTTGTAGGAAGAAAAAAAGAAGTTTGACAAAGAGACAGAAAAGAACTATAGCCTAATTGATAAACATTTGAATTTATCAGCAAAAAAGAAAGACTCACATTTACAAGAGGTATTGTTTTTATTTTTCTGTTAACTTGTTTCTAAAATTCAGTAATCAGTGCATGTCTTTTTTTAAAAAACTGTGCTTTTCTTTTGAAAACATTTCATCCAGGATTATTAGAGGTGGAAAAAATGACCAGGTATCACCATGAAAAAAAGAGCTCTTTTGGAACAAGACGTAAAATAAGACCTCTTAGAGTGATTAATGCAGTGTGGATTCATAGTATTAAAAGTTTTGGTTCTGAGTATATTTTCACAGGAACAATCATTTTCACCAGCATAACTGAGAACAGATATATTATTTTCAGGAATAGATTCATTAATTGGCTTTCAAGATTTCTTGAAGAAGTGAATTGAATAAGCTCCTACACCATTTGGCTTTTATGTGAAGGCAGCATTAATCTTAACACTGAAGATTCAGGAGTTTTCACCTTCATTGGAAAGAGAGCATCTGTTTTACTTGGGTTAATAGACTCATTATTTTGTTTTTGGAGGGAGCTGTATGTAAGAAGAAAGGAATTTATATCTTGTCTCTCATTTTCTCTTTCTGTTTCTTAAATCCCCTGCCACTTGTTTTTCCTCACTCACACACTTGAATGGAAACTCAGTTGTTTACAGTTTGTAACATATGCTTTCCTTAAACATAATGCTGTTTGCAGCTGTAAGGATCTTGACTCATCCCACAAAAGTGTGATTTTTTTTTCTTCCATTTGTTTATTTTTAAACACATAAGGAATCCAGGCATGTGCCACTATAATATACACTTAGTGAAATATCATCAAAATGACAACATTGTAGAATAAACCTGGGTTATGTTTAAATGTCACAGATTTAGTTGCAAACTGTGTGTGTGTGTGTGTGTGTGTGTGTGTGTGTGTGTGTGTTTGTGGCGGGGTTATTTTGACATTACCTACACGTTACGTTTTCTTTTGTCTCACTAGTACTTTTTTTTTTTTGCGTTATGCGGGCCTCTCCCGCTGCGGAGCACAGGCTCCGGACGCGCGGGCTCAGCGGCCATGGCTGACGGGCCCAGCTGCTCCGCGACATGTGGGATCCTCCCGGACCGGGGCACGAATCCGTGTCCCCTGCATCGGCAGGCGGACTCTCAACCACTGCGCCACCAGGGAAGCCCTCGCTAGTACTTTTTTTTTTTTTCCTTGCGTTATGCGGGCCTCTCACTGTTGTGGCCTCTCCCATTTG